CACTCACCAGCGGCGACAGCAAAAACATTACCAGCGATAATCTTCCATATCGCGCAAGCTTGCGAATGGTGTGACCAAATGGAGGGGGGGCGGCACGCGAACCATGCCAGTGGGGCCTTCGGTGGAACTTTCTATGGGGCCACGAAACGTGTGAGGAGTGTACCAAATAGGGAGGGGGGGCGGCATGCGAACCATGCCACCAAGACCTTCGGTGGCACTCCCTATAAGGCCACGAAATGTGTGAGGGGTGTGACAAGGTGAGGGCAGAAACATTGGTGGGAGGAGGGAAGGGCGGGAGGAGGAAGACAGGAAAGGAGAGGAGAGGAATGAACGCGAGGACCGTCTTTTCAAAACAACGACCCATTCACAAGTTGGATGAGAAATAACTACTCCCTGCCGCAGCCCGAAATGTGTCGGTAGGGCGGGCCGGGCATTTCGCATGAGACTCCTTCACGGCTTATGGCCCTCAAAGCTAAAGTTTGATACAACTTCGCCGATGGAGGACGGGCGGTTTTCAAAATGTGGCTCTCGCAATATCGCCGAAGACATTGGCTTTAAACGTTAGCAAGACTTTCGCATATTGAGGGCAGGTCGTTTTCAAACTATGGTTCTCGCCTTTGCGCCGCGTGCATTCGTCTTACATGTTGGCAAGAGCTTCGCGAATGGAGGGCGGGAGGTGCTTTAAATGTTGCTCTCGCCGTAGCGCCGCGCACGTTCGTCTGAAACGTTTGCAAGACTTTCACGTGTCCAGGGCTGTTCTTTTTCAAAACGTTGCTCCCGCCTTAGCGCCGCGCGCATTTGTCTTAAGATCGCACTGCAAGTTTCAGGATTATTATGGTTAACGCCCCAGACATGGTGCTTGCCCACGATGTACGATTGTCAGGGCGCAGCGGTTGCGTTGAGTCGCGGTGTTGGGATCCCAGAAATAATGACCTGGCACGGTTCATTCAGGACTATCAAGGCGCAGCGGTAACGTTGTTTCGCGGAGTTGAAGACCGAAAAATTGTGTTCTGGCGCCGTTCAGGGTTTTCGAACAGTTGTCTTCGAACGGGGCACGCTCCTCAATGAAAGTGAACCCTTGTAAGGACCTGCAAGGGCGGAACGTGGAATAATGGTTTATTGCAACACAACATCATTGATGGAACTTGAGCTTACGCTGTTTCTCCTTCTCTTTCCACCCCCCACTGTCACTGTAAATGTCGTCACCCTACCTCACCAAAGGCGCGTGGTGGCCAAGACGTCGAAGGGAACCCAACCGTGTCGACAAGAAGTGGCGACGAGACGTGGCGACGAGAAGGCAAGAACAAATCCACAGACTGCGGGTATCGTTCCTCGATCCTCTCCTCCTCGACCTCTTTGCGGCCCCCATGACTCTGACGCGGGTTCGCGAGCTCGCCATGCCCACACGTCCGATGGGGGGAAGCAGAGGGGTGAGGTGGAAAAGGGGAACCAAGGGGAGACACATACATGGTGGAGGGGCTCTTTACCGGACGCTCTTGCCCCGCTCCTCTGCACTTCCTCTCGGATCCCTGGGCAGCTATCAATCCGAAGCTGCAGACGGCCTCCTCCTCGACCTGCTTTCCCTCCCGCCGCATCCCCTCTCCTCCGCCTCCTCCTCCTCCTCCTCCTCCTCCTCCGCCGCCAGCGAGACCTGCTCTCCGCAGGCAAGAACGCCCCAGAAGCATGCAGAGCCCCCCCTCCGACACCTGGAAAGCGCCAAACACACGCCCCTCCGAGCTCCAGAAAGTTTTAACAACGCCGCAAACTCTCGAGATCCTCCCCCTCCCAGACCCGATCCTCCACCATCACCATCACCATCACCATCACCATCAGCACCACCACCACTACCACCACTATCAGCATCAGCATCATCATCATCATCACCATCATCATAATCATCATCATCAGCATCATCATTATCATCGGCATCTTCATTATCAGAATATACATCCGCATCATCATGATCAGCATCATCATTATCAGCATCCACCCGGATAACGAGCATCATCACCACCATCAGCATCATCACCATCAGCACCATCAGCATCATCATCACCACCATAATCACCATCGACATCACGATCTCCATCGCCATCGTCATCATCAACACCAGCAGCATCAGTATCGGCATCATCATCATCATCATCATCATCATCACCATCACCATCAACATCATCAAGATCGTCATCATCATCATCACCATCAGCATCATCATCCGCATCATCATCATCATCATTACCATTACCATCGTCATAATTATCATCAGCATCACCATCACCATCATCATCAGCATCATTAAGTTCACCGTCATCATCATCACAATCATCATCATCATCATCAGCATCACCATCAGCATCATCAAGATCATCAGCATCATCATCACCCTCATCATAACCCGCAGCATCATCAACAATGCCATCGTCATCACCATCATCATCATCACCATCCACATCCACATCCTTACCCTCATTATCATCCTTCTCATCAGCACCAGCATCAGCACCAGCACCAGCACCAGTACCAGCATCGTCATCATCATCATCATCATCACCATCATCATCATCATCATCATCACCATCCTCATCATCATCAGCATGATCATCCTCATCGTCATCAGCGTCATCATCATCCACATCCTGACGGGGTCTCTTTTTTCGGCTGGCGCGCGCCAAGGCGTCGTGTGTGGGCGACGGCATCAGGTTTACTCACCCCACCGTGCAGGCAGGCAAGGACCCCGATGCCCAAAGTAGGGCCCAAGATAGGTCAGCACGAATCTCAACTATGCTAACATACAACCCAGTCCACGAGCCCGTCAAGGGCTCAAGCGACACATCCGGACAACGGCCCCGACGGGGCTACAATCCGAGACCTACGGCCCCGAAGGGGCTGCAATGGGCTGCAAGGGGGGCCCTTCCCAAGAATGCCCTCGAAATCCAAGCCTGTACCACGTGCGGCGAGGGGTGGCCAGGGCCCCACTGAGCTCAGGAGTCAACGCAGACGTCCAGGGCCAGTCTCTGAAACCACCTGACCACACTTCTCAAAATAGAATAAAGAAGTTCCCAGCAGGAGCCGGGAACGGGAAGGCCCCGGTCTGCACGGCCGAAAACGGCAGAAGATGTTGGGGCAACTCGCGGGATTGGCCCTGGGAACTGTTGGGGCAACTCGCCTAAGAAGCTTCGGAAGTAACCGCCGCACTTGCCACCCGCCATACCCCCCCAATCCACGTGACCGTCGAGGGCCCAAACGACACACGCGGCCCACGGCCCAGACGGGGCTGCAATGGGGGACCCACGGCCCCGAAGGGGTTGCAATGAGCTGCAAGGGGGGCCCTTCCCAAATGTGGCATTCGGATCCAAACCTGTCCCGCCTGCGGCGAGGGTTGATCTCAGGCCTTGAGTCGAGTCGGCGACCGAAATGGCTGCGCGCCGCGCGCCCGACGCCCAGGCGGCCGCATTTGCCCCCAGCGATCGGTCCCAGCGGAACCCTCGAGAAGAGCAACATCATCAAGCAAGTGGGCTCCGAGGAGGCCAAGGCAGACATCAGAACCCAGAGTTGCTAGTGCTTCCCTGGCAACAACCACCAGAGATCCTCCAGTGGGAGCGAAGCGAGGAGCGAACAAGAAAAACACTCCACTTGCACCCGCTCTGACTAACCAGCCGCCTTTACCGATTTAGCCCAGAAAAATTATTTGAGAATTTGGATGGCCTCCAATTCTTCGAATACCAGCGTTCTGCGCGCAGGCCCGCTCCTCGAGAGAGATGCCAGCCCGCGCCGCGCTTGCAGCCGCTCTGGCTGGAAGGCAAAGCATCTACAGCAGAACGGCCGCAGCGGGGGAGGGGCGCCGCCCGACGCCGTTTTGAGTCAACCTGAGCCCAAACAGCGTCGGAAGCAGCCGTCGCGCTTGCCGCTGTTCCCCCGCCAAGATCCCGTACGCCATGTTGTAGCATGATGATGATGATGATGATGATGATGATGATCATCATCATCATCATCATCATCATCATCATCATCATCATCATCATCATCATCATCATCATCATCATCATCATCATCATCATCATCAGCATCATCATCATCATCATCATCATCATCATCATCATCATCATCATCATCATCATCATCAACATAATCAGCATCATCATCTATATCACCAATACCATCACCAGCACGACCACCATCAGCATCATTGTCGCCATCATCATCATCACCACCACCGCCAGCCATCAGCATCACCAACATCACCATCATTACCATCATCACCACCATCATCACCATTACCATCATCCTCACAACCATCATCATCACCATCAGCACCTGCAACATCATCAGTATTATCAACATCCTCATCAACATCAAACTCATCAGCGTCATCCTATGCATCATCGTCATCGTCATCGATATCGGCACCATCATCATCATCAACATCATCTTCATCAGCATCAGCAGTGTCATCATAATCACCATAATCATCATCAGCATCATAACCACCACCACCGCTATCACCATAATCAGCATCATCCTCACCCTCATCCTCATTCCCACCATCAACATCATCAGCATCGCCAGCATCATGCTCATCAGCATCATCATCATCATCGTCATCATCATCAGCAGCATCATCATCAGCATCGTCATCATTACCATACCCATCATCATCATCAGCAGCATCAGCATCATCGTCATCATCATCCTCATCATCATCATCATCGGCGTCAACTTTATCCCATGTCTGTCCGCTCGCCCCCCGCCATCCTCCGCTCATCTCTCTCCCAGCTTTGCTCGCTACTCCCTCCTCCCTCACTCGCTCTTCCATCCTTCCTCTCCTCCCTCCATCATCTGCTCTCTCCCTCCTCCTCCCCTCTTGCCCCTCGTACTCCTCCCCCTTCCCTCCTGCTCCTCCTGCTACTCCTGCTGTTCCTGTCCCTCCTCCTCCTCCTCCTCCTCCTCCTCCTCCTCCTCCTCCTCCTCCTCCCTCCTCTCTCCCGAATCCCCCCTCGCGCCGAGATGTGCGTCCCGAGGCCGCGATGAGCACCGCTGCAGTCGATGCAGAACTCGCCCGCGCGCGAGGACGAATGAGGAGAAGGGGGAGGTCGGGGGACGAAGGCGGAAGAGCAGAAGGGAGTGAGGAAGTAAGAGGATGATGATGCTGATGCTGATGATGTTAATGATGATGAACATGATGGTGAATATAATGATGATGATGATGATGCTGTGGCTGATGATGGTAAATCGGATACGCTGATACGATGGTAATGATAATGCTGATGCTGATGAGAATGCTGACGCTGCTGCTGATACTGATGATGATGCTGATGGTGATGCGGCTGCTGATGATGATGGTGGTAATGCTGGTGATGTTGATGTTGATGAGATTGACGATGATGATGCTGCTGATGATGGTGTTGAGGATGATGAGGATGTTGGTGATAATGATGACGATGATGGGGGCCATGTTAATGATGATGATAATGATGATGAGGATGCTGATGATGACGAGGATGATGATGATGAGGGGGATGATGATGGTAACGACGACGATGGCGATGATGCTGCTGATGGTGATGGTGATAATCGTGCTGATGATGATGATGATGATGCTGATGCTGATGAATATGCTGACGCTGCTGATGATGCTGATGATGACGATACTGATGATGGGCAAAAGGGCATATTATATTCCTGCCAGTTTGGGTATCATATGAAATTGTCGGAAGCATTCGGGGACTGAGGGTCTCCGATCGATATGGAAGCTTCCGAGGGATAATGCAATGCGGGGGGGAATGATGGTGATGACGACGAGTGCGGCGACGACGACGACGACCATGACGAGTATATGGTCATGAGGACATGGGAGGGCAGAGGGGCGAGGCGGAGGAGCAGGAGAGAGAGGAGAGGGGGGGAGGAGGAGGAGGTTGGAGCGTCTGGGGGGCCGCGTGTCTTCCCCACCTACCGCCACTGGGGGCGGGGCCACCTTCGGCGCTGATCACCGAGGGGCGTTTCGACAGCTTGAAGTGCCGCACGAGCGAGCGAGCGACCATCATTGTCACAAAACGGGATGGCGCGGGCTTTGCTCTCTTGGTGAGCCAACCGGTAGAGCTGAAAATAAAACGCGGTGAATTTGAACGTCTCGGGGGTGGGGTGGATCAGTCCCAGAGCCAGGAGGGGGTCCAAAAACGGGGGCGCGGGGAGGTCAGCTCTTAATTGCCTACGGGCAGGCCGATACATCGGGCCGCACCAACAAACGTAATGCTTCAGCGAGTCGCGAGCCCCAGGACACCCCCAGACGCAACCCCTATACGAGTTGCGCATCCTGGGCTCGGTGATCCAGCCCCCTCCCCACGTCTTGATGCAAGCGCTTCGCCAGGACGGCGGAATGCGATGCATCGCCGCAGCGACGGCAGACCAGTCGATCGCACCAGCGTCGGCATCGTGGACCCCAAACCAGCGTCGGAGGCGCTCTTGCAGACGGAGATGGAGGCGCGGGAGCCGAGGATCGGAGCGAAGGTACGAACGGAGGAAGGGGGGAGTAGAGGAGAGACTGTGGACGCACACGCCGCAGGTGAGCCTGCCGCTCGTCCTCTGCAGCATTGCTGAGGCGCCTGCGACGGGCCTCGCTGGAGGCGGCCTCGCGGAGGGCGCGCGCGGCCGACGGGCGTGGCCCCGCCCCGCAGCTCGACGCCGCTCTCTCCAGCGTCGTCGCAATGGCCTCAGATCGCCACCAGCAGGGCCACGGGCGTCCACGGACCGTGCGCACCAGCGGCAGGTGCCTCAGCGCGGCTCCTCGGAGCTGCCGCGCAGCCGTGCGCCAGGAGCCCAGCGTGACCACCGCCGCCCGCACTAGGGCTGCCTCGCAGAGGGTCGTGGCTGACGGGATCTGCGGGCCGCCGACGGCGCTGAGCTCGTACCGCTCCCCGTCCCCCAGGAAGCTGCCAGGAAGGCGCAGCAGGTGCGCCAGCCTCCCACGCTCGAGCTTCCTCAGAGTGGCGGGGGCCTCCATCATCTGCGCCGTGTACGAGAGGACGGGCACGCAGCGCTCTTGGTACAGGTGGATGGCCGCGTGCACGTCCGCGCGGCTCCTGGAAATCTCTCCGGCGCGTTCGGAGTATTTCCTCATCGGAGCGCGCCATTGAGCCTCCTGCGTCGCACCAGGTCCCAGCAGCACGCCCAAATACTCGAGATGGTTCACGATGGGGAATGCCACCCAGTCCTTGTCCGCAGCCACCAGGGAGTCACGCGCCCGCTCCAGCGCGCCAGCACATCGCGGGTCTCCCAGCGGGATGGCACGACACTTTGCAGGCTTGATCGCCAGGCCTGCCAGGAGCATCGCGCCACGAAAGACTCAGGCCAGCGTGCACAGCCAACGCTGGGCCATCACCGTCGCGCCAAGGTCGTCAGCGCACCACCTCGAAATGCCCCGACGCTTGGGGCCCAGGTTGGATTTCAGGTCCTGGCCGAACGGGTGGACGGCGAGGACGAACAGCGTGCCGCTGGCGGGGTCGCCCTGAAGTATGCCCGAGCGCACCGAGTAGAGCGTCGCCCTCGTGCGAGAGGCCGCCAGGGCGACGACTCCGACGCAGTTGACCTTCAGCGCGTCCTGGAGCCCCTGGGGAGCGCCCATGGCGCGCAGCGAGCCGAAGAGCCAGCCCTGCGCGATGCTCGGGAAGGCCTGGCCCCAGTCGAAGGAGATGAGGAAGGGGGGGTCGGCGCTTCCCGCGGCCATGGACAGCACGCGTGAGTGCGAGTCCAGCTCGACTATGTTGTCGCAAAAGTTGCGCCCGCAAATGAAGCCGCGCTGCGTGTCCACACAGTGCCGCTCCGCCATTCTCTTCATGCATGAGTTGAGGGCCCACATGATGGCCTTCTTGGAAGTGTTCTCCAGCGCCAGTGGCCGAGTCTCGCCGGCGCGCCTGAGGACTTCGCGAGGGTCATCAGCACGCGTCCCCTTGGCGGGGAAGACGGCGACGGTGTAGTTCCACTCCTGGCGCATGGGGAGGCCCTCAAGCTGCCATGCCAGTGCTTCCGCCAGCGTCTCGACCCCCTTCGGCGTGGCGAGCCAGGCCTTAGCACCGAGGCCGTCAGGGCCAGGGGCTGACTTGCGGGCCTTGCGGAGAGCCAATGCCACGGTGTGCGCCGAGGGGGGCTCGATCGAGGCCCAGTCAGCTCCCTGGATGCCATAGCGGCGGAGATATCCATCCTGGAGTTCCCGTCGACGATGGACTGCGCGAGGAGCATCTCGGGGGAGGGGTGCCATGATGCCGTCCTGGAAGGTCATGGGGACGTCGTTCGGGTTGGTGGCTAGGTTGCGCATCATCTCCTCCGCGGACTGCTTCCGTTTGTCCACGTCGTCGCCGAAGACGCCTCGCCAGTACTGCGCGAGCGCTCTCTGGATGTCCTGCTCCGATCGCGCAACCGTGCCATCGTCCAGCTCGATGCCCCCCAGGAAACGTCGGGCCGACGTCGGCGCCCACATGGCCGCGCGACGACGTAGGGCCCTCTGCTGCCTGACCATCGCTGCCTTGTTGGACTCATGCCGTTCCCCGTCAATGTCATGTTGATGCTGGCGGAGTCGGGCATGCATCTCACGGTGTTGCGCAAGGCGGTGCCGACGAGAGAATCCCTGCGTGTCGAGGAGCACCGCCTGGTCTCTGCCAAGACCAGGGTGATGGCGAAGCTCGATCATCTGGCTTGTCCATGCATGCTGTCGTAGGAGGGCCCCCGCCATCCGAGTGCCCTGACGCGACATCGCACGACCAAGTTGTCTCCATATCAACGCCGTCGGCGACCGCAGACCAGGCTCACCACGAAGAATGGCGTCACGGGTGGCGGCCGCTGCCGCCTGCAGGATCTTCGCGTGGTAGTGCACTCGATCGGGGGGGGGGAGACCATCCAGGGGGGCCGCGTTCTCGCACTTCCCGATCATCTCGCCGAACAGCGGATTCTCCGAGACGGTAGACGGGACAGGGTTGATGACGCCCGTGGTAGGTCTCTTTCTCGGTGGGCGTGGAGTCCATGCTACCAAGAACATCGCGTGGTCCGAAAGCCCGTCGAGGTGCATCTCGTGGGGTTCCCCATGCACCTGCCCATGCTGAAAGGTCTGCGTGAGCAACCAGCGTGGAGAAACGATCCAAATCTTGTCGATCGAGGTGGCGATCTGTCTGCCTGGGTGCCAGTGCGTCGGCTTGTGAGGGATCATCTCCGTCGCAGCACTGAGCGAGTGAGCCCATGCGCGGCCGCGGGGGTGCGAGGCGGCCCTGCGCCCGCCTCCAGGGACCAGGAGGTCCTCCACCTCGACATTCTCGCCGTAATTGAAGTCGCCCACGATCGCAACACATCGCCTCCTCGGATCCACTTCCATGTCGCGAAAATCAGCCTGGATCTCGCCAGCGACGCGCCGAACCTGTTCGCGGGAGAGGTCGTGGTCATGAATGTTCCAGTGCTTCAGAGTGTAGCCAGTGCATGGTCCGTCCGTGATCGTGGCCGCAACGCGGATCATCCGAGCCTTGATGGAGAACGTCTTACGCAGGTCCAGACCCGCGCGCATCTTGAAGGGGAAGATGGCGGCAACGCTTCCGAGGGACTCATCAGCATTGTCACCGAAGGAGTAGAACATCTGGTAGTCCATCCCCAAGCGATCTATCAACATACGCAAGCGCACGGCCGACCCGTGGACCTCCTGCATACCAGCGATAGCCCCTGCTCGGAGTGCATTCCCAAGGTAGTTGCTCATGCGTGCCGCCATGTTCGCCTTGTGGTGACAGAATGCTCTTGCATTCCAGGTGGCGAAGGTGAGCCCCTTGCTCATCGGGGCGGCAAAGAGCTTGACGAACGTGCTAAAGACACCAATCATCATCACCAGGAGCCAAGGCCGCCTCGACCGTCGGTGCCAGGTCCTCACGTCGCAGCCCGAGTGCCGCGAGCGCAGACGGGGACCAGGCCACCGCTGGGGTAGCGTTGGGGCCGTCGATGGAGAGGCGGAGGAAGAACTTCCACTGGGACGAGAGGGAGAACTTCTGTTTATCGATGAAGATGCGGTGCCCGTCGCCGATGACAC